AGCTGACCTATGGAGAAAGAACTTAAGCAAATTAATAATAGTGCAAGGTGAATTTGAAATAAATTGAGAATAAATTACTTTCATGCATTTTAATACTATCCATATGTGAACAAAAAGCAATAGCTTAAGTACAGCAAAATTCTAGATACTCTAATGGCCCTCTCTGACAAAAACTCTTATCTCTTAGTCTAAATAATAAAATGGTATACAAAGATATTCTATGAATTAACTATTCAGACCACTCCTCTTTAACAAAAATTAATGCTAAAATATTTCTGAGTTTCACAAACTATTACAAGGTATTTTGAAAAATCTTTAAAATTGAGCATTTAGTCATGAAAATGTAGCTGAAGAAATACTTAAATGTCAATCTTTTATCTATGCAACTGGCAAAAAAATATTTTCATAACATCAAGTGTAGTTGAGAGTCCAAGGAAACTGAAAACTCTCATATGATGGGGCCGCTAGTGTAAATTGGTTCAACTTTCTGAAGAGGTGGGCTCCTATAAATCATTAGTATTTTGATATGAGAGTTTTGATAGCAATATTATAAAAAATCTTTAAATTATTCATATTTTTACCTTAGCAATCCTGATTCTGAGAATTTATCCTAAGGAAATAACCAAAAATGTATGTACAATAATAATGATAAGTAAAAATAACCACTACACTTTATAAAGCACATATTATATCCTAAGACACTGTGATACTTTACATAAATTACCATTTAATTCTCTTAATAATCCTGAGGCAGCTATTACTATTATCTTAATTTTATGGATGAGAAAATAGAGACTTATAGTCAAGAGCTGGTAAATGTGGTGGAGGAGCTGGGATTCAAATTCAGATCTATTTGAAACCTAAGCCCAAGTTCCCAGCCAGCAAAATATAATGCTAACTCTAAGAAAAATCTAATAAGAAAATGGGGGCAGTAATTTCCCTAGTTTGGTAGTTCTACAGAATATCATTTATAATTGTGAAAAGAACCTGGAAACAACCTAAATGTTCAACAAAAAGGGAATGTTTAAATGGATATTATATAGCTATTAACATAACAGTGAGATAAATTTTAATGACATTGAAAAAAGTTCACAATTGGAGGTATGGGGGCAGGTGGAGGGACTGAGCAAAAGAGAAAAAACTAAAACAAACAAAAAAATAAAACCCAGATGAGAAGGAAAAAAAGAAGACAAAAGTTCATAATATAGTAAGTGAAAAGAGCAGGTTTAAAACAGTTGTCCAATGTGATCCCCACTACAAATGTGTGTGTGCCAGTGTGTCTGAGCAGAGAAGAAAACTGAAGGACTAACATGGACCTGTTTTTATTTTCTCCTATGTTCTTTTCTACATTTTCTAAATTATTTTTGCAGTTAGAAAAAGCTACATTTGGGAATGGAGTT